ATTTGTTTTAATACAAAAGATATGAAAGGGAAAAATAAAATCAGTATTACCTATGGTAGGAGAGAGATTTTCGAAGGTATCTGGAGTAAAGATGAGATTCTACTCCAGAATCCCCAATCAACAATAACTTGAACAAATAATCAAATTCTTACGAGGAGGACGACGAAGACGATACCATCTCCACGAATTTTAATTGGAACATCCATGGAAATAATAACAGATTAAGAACCCTGAAAAATAAGAAAAGATTAGGACCAAGTGAAATTCAGTGAGCATAGACAAGATTAGATATCATTCAAGATTTCATGATGCAGTAACTATTTCCCTTTTGAATGACAAAAGCACAATCCAAACAAATCATAATAAAAAGAGAACTACACTAAAACAAACCTTTTGGAGAATAAAACAATTCAGGAACTGTGGAGAGCCCCAGCAAAAAAGTCCTTCTGATTGTCCTTGGTTTTTGATGTAGTTTGGTGTCCTCTTTTTGGTGCAACTCTCAACAGAAACAAATAGCGGAAATTATGCAATTCTGGTTTTTACACTATTAGAAAGTTCTACAATGTAAACACCAACAAAAGTCAACAAAAAAAAGGAAGAAGAAAAGATTAGGAGTAGACTCCAAGGAAAAAGAAGTAGCAGCAATAGTACAGAAAGACCGAACTTTTTTTTTTTCCGGTGAGTGAGTTGGTGGCACAATCCACGGTAGTGGGGAGAGGAGAAAAAACCCCTCTAGAAAATCCAGTGAGCGACTCTTCGCAACAATAGAATTAGAGCCCAAATAGAAAGAAAAAGAAAAAGTAAAAAAATAGTGTATAGAGAACAGTGTTCAAATCTTGTCTAGCAACACGATCTATGATCGATCATGATTAGAGCCCCTTCCTCTTCTCGTTATTGCTCTTTATCTTCGTCCCCAACAGTCTCACCGGTGAAGGTTGCAAAATCGAATCTATTGACTCAATCGACAAACGTTCCGACGATAAATTTCAACAACTCTGTATAGAGGTTATGGTGATTAGCGGCGGCAATTTAATTTTGAAGGTGGTCTTTAGCGGCAGTTTGATTTTTAGTTGCAGCTATAGTTTTAGTCGCGGCGAAGAACTGCGATTCCAATTCGTGTCTGTAACAATTTTTTATATATAACCCTTCGGTCCCAAAAAACAGTGGGGGTATCAGCGTAAATAGAGATCTTAAAAAAGAGGGAGAAGGCTAAAAAATAAGAAGGAAAAAAGGAAAGATGAAGCGCAAGTATAATCTGTGGTTATTTTATTTCGGGAATTCAACAAAATTTCTTTTTAAAAAGAAAACATTGATACAAAAACGTCGTCGTTTTCACTGCTGGGAATAAAATAAGGGTATAAAACGACGTTGTTTTGATATCTGGGGATTTTTTTAACCAAAAATTCATATTTTTTCTCATTCATTAATTTGAAATTGAATTTATGCATTCTCTTTTTTGCCCCCAATAAGTCACTGACGTCATATCAACCCCATCCGACGTACGAGATTAATTTGAAGGTGGTCCTGAATATTTCTTGGGCATTTAATTTCTTGCCTACTGTGCCTTTATATTAAGTATAAGGATAAGGATAAGTATATCAAATCAATTACTGTCATATTTCATTATATACAGAATTTTTTTTACTATGTATATCATTTTCGTTAATCAATTGTGTGATGATTGATGATGGTTGACAATTAACACATGCAAAAGGGACACGTCAACCACGATAAACATGTGAACATTCGGCGCTGACATTTTTGTGATCATTGATTGATAAGTTTGCCGCAAACACCAATTTTTATGCTTTTAGTATTTGATTATTTCCTTCTTCTTATTTTTCTTGTACATGTTTGTTTGTCCCGAATTTTAATGAGACGAACATGTATATATAACAAAAAGAAAAAACTACTCTTTGAAAATTTCTTTCTTTGGAACTAGAGGGTCGAATATATGTTCAAATGTCTTTTTCCTTCTCAATATCTTACCAAAACACGTTGGAAATGTAGACATAAGGTAGTGAGATATATTATTGCGAGGCTTTTTTGCCCTTTTTTTTTTGTTTTTGAGTTGCTCTGTTTGTTTCTTTTATTGGTAGTTTTTTTTCAAAATAATATAATAATAATTGTCACATCTCAATATATCTTTTTACATTTTCAATACACTTATTTATATTCTCAATAACAAAAAAACTTAAAAACACAAACTAAAAAAAACAAAACAAACATGAGTAATCACTCACATGGACAATTGCAATTTTAAAAGAAGAGTCACGAATCTTTTTTCTAAAGAGCAGCTAGAACTCCAACAAAACTATTAGTTACTGTTGAATATGAGTAATGGTTCTCATTTTAAATTTTACTCTAATATAGTCTTTTTATGATAATAATTAAGTGATGTTGCTATTGTAATCTGGTTGATTTTTTTTAACAATTATGCAAAGTTAATTCTCTGCGTTTAGATCAGATGTACTCCCTTCATTTTTTTATATGTCTTTATAGAGAAATCATCAAAACCAAGAACACATTAATTAATATAGTTAAAATACAAAAACCCTTATTTATTGTATATACAATTCAATACAAACCAATAGAAATTCATTATAAATACTGTTTCATTTCCAATGTAAGGGTAATATTGATAAAAAGTGGTCAAATATGCCTCGATTTGTGAAAACGACATATATTTAAAAAAATTTAGCAAATCCTAAAACGACATATATTTCAAAATGGAGGGAGTATAAAGCAAAATGGTATAGGTCAACTACTAGTTATGACATCTCTCATTTTATATACAGTTGTAACTTGTTATCTTTTTCTCTTTTCTTTTAATCTGGTTTTATGGCTATAGTCTAACCTAGTTAGCTCTTTTTTTTTTTCCTTTTTTTTTTTGGGACATTCACTTGACTCTTTATAATCCTATCATGAAAAATGTTATTTAAACTAGCAATCTTTACGAAAGTAGAGAACTCATCTAGTATTTCATCTTTTACATTCTCTCATTCTCACCATCACTCCATCCATGTATATATACACATATTGATTTGAGTATCATCATCTTGGGGCTAGTACTGATCTTCCGTCTATTTTGGGTCTCCGAGACGTCCACATGGAGGTCCAGCTCCATCACGACCTCCTTAATGGTGAACTACAAGGCTACAATGTTTCGCCTCAAGGAAAAAGCCACAAATTAATCGGCCGAGCTAATGGCCAAACCGGCCTATGTAGCTTCCCAAAGTTTCGCATTCACTTATGATGACAGTGGATAGTATTTAAAATTTAATATGAATTATTTTTTGGGATAAAAAGAGTATAAATATATGAGAATTGAACGACATCCTAATAATAGAAGTTGTTGTCTTTCCTGATAATAGAACAGGGTTCGATTTTCCATCAGAGGTCATGAGGAGAGAGGTTTTACCCACATTTAAGTGGGATCTACTGAAATGAATTTTTTTTTTTTTTTATAAAAAGAATACAAATATTATAACATGTTAAGTTGTACGTTGCTTAACTGGCATGATTATATCCCATTCATATGTGTCCTTAATTCTACGTGTTCTTTACTGATTTTGTGAGGTGGTTTTTTGCTTCACATAGTCTTTGTTCCTACTTCCTCTATTTCTCGGTGACCGATCAGGTGATTTAAAATTGTTGTCTGTCTTTGACTTCCTTTTAGCCATCTGTTTGAACTACGTGAATTGATTTCCATTTGCTAGCAAACATTCTTCTTAAATACATAAGAAAAATTCCTTAACATCAAAAGTAAGATAAATGTCCAGTTCTAATCCTTGCAGTTGTATTTATTGTGCCGATGTTATGTACTTATAATTTTATGTTCGAAAGAAGTTGATAAACTGCTAATAAAACTTGTATCTCATTCCAGGTAAAAGTATATTCTCAAAGCATCACTCAACATAAAGTGGAGTTTTTTTATTTTAGTCAAACATACCAACACAATCGAAGATGAGCTACATACTTAAACACTTAGTTTATATGTATAATTATGTAAATTATCATATAATTATTTGTAGCTATATAAATAAGGCTTTTTAATTTTAAATTATTTTTTATTTACGACAATATCACAATGGGTCTTCACTTCCAAACCACTGCGCCTCGTACCGTTTACCCCTACCCTAATAGTAACCAAAAGGAGAAACTCAAAATTCCGAACGACATTACTCATTTGACTTGTAGGAAAAGGCCAATTCACGTAAGAGCAACTTCACGACATTACTCATTTCCCTGCTAGGACAAGGACGATGAGCAGAACACTGAAGTCTAATCTTAAAACAAGGAGAGAATTTTCTGTTTTTTCGTTTTTTGTTTTGGAAAAGGAAAGTGAATAGATGAGCATTTGTTTTTTTTTACTATTATTAGCTTGGGATTGGACTATCTTTAAGAAATGGGGAGAGAAAATAGCTCTTTTGATACATCATCTTTAAACCAGTAGAATTTTAGCTCCTCTAACATCAAAGACTATACACTTTTGGTCCTATCTACATTTACAGGTGCGGGAAAGTTGGACCTTTTTATAGACTGGTTTTAGTAATCAGTCCTTCAACTAAGTTTGGATAATCTTTTGTCATAAACTTGGCACTTCTAATCTGAAACTTTTTTTTTAATCTTTTCACATGTGGAAGAATTAGGTCCTCAAATAAAGAATTACTATTATTATTACAGATTTGATAGTTTAATTCTTGCTAAATAATTCGAATGTTGAAGGGGAAAAAAACTTCGTCAATTTTCAATGGGAAATGCATTTCCCAAGGTGTGTTTTTGTATTTGATAAAATGTGCGTACCATCTCATATCATTGGTCTAATTTATGTTAAACATGAGATGCCATACAACAAACTTGGGAACGAAAGTGAAATATTCCGTAATCAATGACCTAGCCCAAGTATATACCAAAATTTGAGGGACGAATGAAGTTATTTACTGGACGAACAATTAATCCAAATATTTTACTCTTGCCGCTCGGATCAGCCGATCAGAATCAGATAAGAGCGCATAAGACATTGCAGAAAAGCACTCATTCTTTCTTCAATGCATTGGCAGCCTGAAAGATCCTTTCAAAGCAAATCAGTAAATTAACATCTTTTCTATCCAAATTCTTCATTCATGTCGAATTTTCACGAAGAAATCCATTACAATGGAAACTCATTTCTCCCTTCAACATCGCTAGAACTACTCCTCAAGCACTGCAGTACCAGAGTGAAGCGTCCGAGGGATGAATATCACAACGATCAAACCTCCAATCTACCTGATCAACAACGATTTCAATCCACCGTTCAGATTATGAAGCAAGCAAAAGAGCAACTTCGTAACTTAAACTCCCAAAACGCCGATGTTATTTCCTCTGTTTTTAGCTTCGTTGAAGCCCAGTACGCTCTTGGTTACGAAATTTCCCTGGAAATGGCACTCGGGATACTTCTCCAAGCTGCTGCAGAAAAAATTGACAATCAGCAATACGTTTATGGTAGAAAATTGTTAAGTTTGTGCCGTCAATTTTCTAGTAAGGACGGAATTAGTCCGACCCAGAGACTGACTCACTATTTTGTTGAAGCTCTACAAGAAAAGACCGATCGAGAATGCGGAATCGCTTTACCGTCATCGGAAGAAATTCAGCAGAGCCAGCCAATGGATGAGAAATTGGCCCTGCTTAATTTACAACCCGAGATCTTGGCGGGTCAGCAAGAAAACCCGTTTTCTCTCGTCTGCCAGTTCATGGCGGTCGGATCGATTCGAGATGGTGTGGGATCGGCTGAGAAAGTTCACCTGATTGATTTCTCAATCGATAATGGATCCCATTGGATACTGATTATGCAAGATTTCGCCGGCCCCGGCCGGCGTGATTTCCCTCTTCGCCTCCTCAAGATAACTGCAGTCGGAACTTGTAGATGGATGATGGAAGAAACAGGGCAACGTTTGTCGGCTTTTGCAGAGTCAATCAATTTGGCATTTCGATTCGACATTGTTGTTTCCGATCTGAAGGATCTCAGGAAAGATCCATTCGAGTTAGAAGAGGATGAAGTTGTGGCGGTTCATGTGGCTACTCGTTTCTGGACTCTGTTAGCGTGGCCTAATTACTTGGATTCGCTAATCGAAACGATCAAATCCCTGAAACCATGTGTAATGGTGGTGAAAGAAATGGAGGCAGGAACCAATAAGAATAGCTTCCTGGAAAGATTTGATGAAGCCCTGATTTACATCAGCGGATCGTTTGATATTGCGAAAGAGTGTATGGAGAATCATGTCCTGTATAGGAAGTTGTGGGAAGAATTTTGCAGCGGGAAGATGATTCGGAATATTTTGACGGCTGAGGGAGTTGAGAGGATTCACAGGCATGAAAAGATTGGTTTCTGGAGATCCCTTTTTGGTAAGTTCGAGATTGTGGAAACTGAACTTAGTCGCCCGTCGTTGTATCGTGCAAGATTGTTGCTCAAAAGATCGGCTCGGTTTAGTCCGTTTACGATTGATAAGGATGGAGAATGCTTTGTATTGGGGTGGAAGGGAAACCCTTTTCTATCCATTTCTGCCTGGAAGTTCCCTGAAGATCACTCCCAGCCTGCGTAGATTTGCTATTGATGGATTTTCCGATTTAGCATTTCTTATTCTTCTTCAATATTTGAAAAGCGATATCGTGCATGGGTACATTAACAATACCTATAGAAGGATAACAACTAGTTATCTTGGTTTCTAAACTCTAACATGTAAGATACGATCGTCACGCTAGTTATACAGTTTATCTTTACCAAAGCCTTTTGTGATGGTTTATTACTTGCTCTCCCATGTAAGCATGTTGCAATCTCACCAATATTGTCTATCACTTAAGCATGTTTTTTCAAGGTTTTGTTGCAGAAAGAGAATGATTTTGATCCACTTATGTTCTCAATCCGAAAACATAATCATCTCGTTTGGCCATCATTAATCTTGGAAAAGAATATGAGACCATCCAATTTTTTATTTTTATTTTTTAAATTTGTTTGTTTGTCCCTTGTGGTTATTAGATTATATATAGATTTTTGTCAGAATCCTATATGATGCGTAAAATAGAGTACTATGTTATTGAACCTAAGAAATTTCACTCGGTTTTGTCTTCATGCATTTGTAAGTTAAAGAATAAGACTGCAATTGGTTTAGTATAGAATTATGGGCGGCAAGAGAATGAGAATTAGAAAGAAACCGGGTAGAGCAAAACAACAAAGGTGACTCAAGATACTCTTTATGGCTGAGATTCTTGCGCTTCGAGAAGCTGTTGATTTAGCCGAGGCGAAAAATTTCGTATGCTTAACCGTTCAGGGAGAGTACTCTTCCGTTAATACCATTTTAGCAGTCCTTTAGCAGACATTCCTCCACGGCTTGATCCCTTACCTTGCTTACTTATCAATTTTGGTGCCTTAGAATATAGAATATTGTTGTTACTCTAGATTTAGCTTTCTACTTTAGAAACGAGATAATTCTTTCTTTAAAGCGTAGACTCTACATCACTCATTTTTATCAATCCTTATAGTTAGATGATTTATGAGTACCCAAATCTAGATTTGATATTTATTTTTGAAAAAAAAAGGACAACGGGAAGCTTACAACACTATGTATAGAAACAAATACGTATCTTAAGATTGTGATCCAAAATTTATACTAGATGATAAACCACCAAAAAGTTGCGTTTACTGTACTATACCTAGTGATGGAAGATCCCTTTGGATTATCAAACAGTGTCATAGTCAACTTCAAGCCTGGTATAACGTACACTATAAAGGCCATCTCTCTCAAAATGAGACAATAGAACTCTTCATCATGAAACCCAATAGTCTTGTTCATAGTTCACTGCCAAACTCTGTCAAATTAGGAAGCCCATCTCTTCACCATGGAACCTAATAAGGCTTTTAATTCACAAATCATAACAGAGCCCATCAGTTTCATTTTTTTTTTAATGTAATTTGCTTATGAGTTAATTGATGAACCGGGGGTAACAAACCAATCAGTTTCAACTTTCAAACTAATTGATTTGTTTATGATTTTAGTGTTGTACAATTAGGTAAACGTTACTAAATTTAATGACAATCAAATTCCGGATCAAGCGGATAGAATGTGAAGATTACAGTGCTTAACATGGTTAAATTAAATGATAATCTCGTCAAAATATAATGTGAGGATGAAAAGTGCTGCAGAAGGCTAAGGGACTACTGCAACTAAAGGAAAACGAATTAAATGCCTTGAGCATATTCTTTTTCTTTTTTTGAAAAGATTTTGAGTATATTCTTAGTTTCTTTTTTTCTTTTTTGGAAAGAATTTGAGTATATTTTTAGTTTCTTTTTTTGGGGATCTATTACTACTCTAGTCTAGTGGGGGACGACTGCACGCGTGCAACGCCTTTTTCCGCGCGTCCATCGGGTAATGCTTCCAACTGCAACCTGCAAAGAAAGACAGCATTTTGCTGCCATGGGATTTCGAACCCGAGATTTTCGGGTTGGATATCTAGCCTTTTACCAATTGGACCACCCCTTTTTGGCTATTCTTAATTTCTTAACTTGTCCTTTCTAAGTCCATCGATTCATCTCTGTCTTTAATTATTTCACCCTTATAGTTAAACCATTATACAACCCACCTTTTGTTTTTTGTTTTGTTTTTTCCCCCCTTTTTGGGTTATAAAAAGAAAAACGAAATTCAATTGATTTTAAGATATTGATGTGATAAGTAACTTCTACAATGCATACTCCCCATGAAGAACACTCTCATAAAATATTATATGTTTATTAAGAAAAAAAAGGAAAAAAATAAGAAAAGGAAAAATACAAGGAGAATAGACTGTAGAATTGATTTTGTCCAAAAACCACAGGCATGTTGTCGTAATAAGTAATAACATGATAAGAAACATAACTTATTGTATGTTCTTGTCAATTGATTATACCAACAATATTACATGTATTTCTTTGATGGTGCATGCGATCTCCAAAAGCAAGAACGATGTTGGATTGGGCATTTGTGTAAAGATTGGAGGACGGATAGTTTCTTCTAGCTAGCCAAAGTCAGAAGCATCAGGGGGACTGAATTCCCCCGAATTGGCTGAGTTTTTGGCTCTTAGGGATGCATTGCGACTTCAAATTTTTAATTTTGGAACTCGAAACTGGGACCTCCAGGTTGACTGATTTATTCCCAATCACTGAGATAAGTCGTTTTTCCCATGTATCCTTTGATAATTGTAGTGGATCTCACGTGTAGACAATAGTGTAGTCCAGCTACTCATGCAAATCTCATATTCTTTTTTTTTTTTTGAAAGAAAACATTCATTAACGATTACTGGAAAAGGTCCAGCACCACTTGAGATACAAAGTTTGGAGGTTCACTCCAAATGGTTTCTATTACAGAAGCCAATTTGGCATACTTGGCTAGAGAATGAGCTATTGTGTTGTCTGATCGAGGGATCCAAGATAATTGGGAGACCGGCAAGTCATGACAGATATATATAATGTCTTCCAAAATCGGGGAACAAGACGAAGGACCTTCAACCTCTTCCAATGCTGCCAAAATAACAAGAGAAGAATCACCTTAAATGGCAACATTTGTGAGCCCCATTTTTCGATAGAAAAGCAATGCTTCTCTCAATGCTAGGGCCTCGGCCAAATCAGAGTCTACAACATCAAAAAACTGGCGGGATAACCCATACATGAAGCGACCATTAGAGTCATGGATAACAATTCCAGCACCGGCACAATGTGAAGATTGAGATAAGGAGCCATCAAAATACACACGTACTAAGTTTGGTGGAGGAGGAATGAAGAGCTTCATTATTTTCAAATTCTGATCTACCTGGCTCTTGCTTTTATGTATCTCAATGAAGTCGTGAACTATCCTGCTAGCTTGAAGAACAACAGACCATGCCGAGGAACGATTCTGATCAAATAGCGAAGAGTTTCTTGCCTGCCAAATTCCTGAAAGTAATGCGACAAAGAAGGCTAGAGAAGAAAATTGATCGTCCAAAATCAAAGCACGTACCCATAAGTCACAGAGAGGGCGATGTTGTGGAATAATCTGATCATGAAGCCCTGCTATCCTGAATATTTGTATGGCATAAGGACAATCGAAGAAAATATGGCAACTATGCGTCGAAGATTGATTACAGAAAACACAGGAAGCATCAAAATGTAACTGTCTGGAGGCCATATTTGCTGGGGTGGGGGAGGGAATCAGTACAAAGTCGCCAAGCAAACAGGAGAATACGATTTGGCAACTTAAGACTCCATAACTTTTTCCATAAGGGATCTTGGATTCCAACCGGCATGATTGCATTGTTCCTGGATTGCTGACTGAAGGCCGGAGAATAGAGCAGTTGAAAATATGCTGAGCGAACCGTGTGGTGACCCTTCCTTGTGTAGTGCCAAATCCAACGATCAGGAGACTGAGAGTGTGGGAATGCCATGGAAAGGATTGCTGAAGCTTCTTGAGGAGGAAACACAGTTGTGACTAGATCCCGATTCCATGCAGCTTGACCTTGGTGAATTAGTGCTGAAACAGATGTTGTTGCAGGCAGAATTCGGGGAGATGAACCAGTCCGAAAGCTAGGCTCCAAAGGGATCCATTTGTCGCACCAAATGTTCGTTTGGCAGCCACTTCTGATTTGTTTCCTGCACCCCAACTCTAAAACTTTACGCCCTTCAAGAATTGATCGCCATGTCCAGGAGGGTCTCACGCCAAGGCTGGCTTTGAAGAACTGCTGACCTGGAAAATACTTCGCCTTCAGAACACGAGATAGCAGCGATTGTGGAGAGGTAACAAGCTTCCATGCCTGTTTGCTAAGCATAGCAATATTGAACGCCTTTAAATTCTGAAAACCAAGCTCTCCGTCCTTCTTGCTGTGAGACATGGATGTCCAAGACGACCAATGTACCTTTCTGCGATCATTTGAGCTTCCCCAAAAAATAGTTACTAGACATGGATTGTAATTCATCCAAGACATAATCAGGTAACATAAAACATGACATAGCATAAGATGGAATTGCTTGTATAACTGATTTAATAAGTAATTCCTTGCCAGCTCGAGAGAGGGATTTTGAACTCCAACATTGTAACTTAGTCCACACTCTGTCCTTGATACTTGAGAAGACATCACGTTTGCACTTGCCAACAATAGATGGAAGCCCTAGATATTTTCCATGGCTCTCTACTTCCGGAATGCCAAAAATGCTGCAAATTGAAGCCTTGAGATGAACCTGAGTATTAGGACAAAATAAAATTCCAGATTTATCTAAGTTGATTTTTTGGCCTGAAACTCTTTCATAAAGATGGATGACCCATTGTAGATGATGAGCTTCAACAACCGTGGCTTGGCCAAAAAGCAAAGTGTCATCGGCGAAGAAAAGGTGTGAAACTTTTGGCGCTTCTCGAGATACTCTAATGCCATGTATTCTCCCACAACTTTGAAGATCCTGAAGCAAGCATGAAAAGACTTCGGAACAAATGATAAAGAGATATGGGGAAAGAGGATCATCTTGATGGATACCTCTTTCCGGAGTTAGGTTTCCGAATTGCTGGCCATTAAGAATGAAAGAAAAGCGAACTGAAGAAAGACACATGTGGATCAAATTAACAAAAGACTCACAGAACCCTAAGGAGGATAAAACAGATTTTAAAAAATACCACTCTACTCTATCGAAGGCTTTACTCATATCTAACTTAATGGACATTAAACCTGAGTTACACTTGGGATGAACTTTCATATGGTGGTGAGTCTCATAAGCTAGAAGCACATTATCAGTAATTAGACGACTCGGAACGAAAGCCGATTGAGATTCTGAAATAATTGAAGGAAGGAGCAAACGAAGTCTATTAGAGATGACTTTCGAACAAAGCTTGTAAACTACGGTACATAAGGAAATGGGAC